AGGAATGTTATTAAAAGTGTAATATAGTGCTGTAATTTCTTGACATTTCACAAATATAAAATATGCCATTAATAAAAATGGAACTATAGATGCTTCAAAAACGCATTGAATTTAATAAAATTCAATGTAAAAATTTCATAGAAAAATCATCTTGACTAGTAAACTCCATCAATGATCAAAACTGTTACATCTGGGGCTCAAAAATCCAAGATTTATTATTGAAAAGTCTCTCCATTCTCAGCGTTTAATTATTTGGCTTTTAGTCCGGCAATTATATTGAATCTTACTATTTAAAAAATTAATGATTTGTGCTATTGAGGGTTTATTCATGATTCTTATATCCAAAATTAGATGGTATGGACGTGAACAACGTTTGCTTTCAACGAGATTGCGCGACGTGCAACGAAACAATAGATCTTTTGAGGGAAAAGTCTCCTTGAGTATCAAGTTAAATCTCTTATTAGAAAACCCTTTATATATATGTTTAATATATACATACCATTTAAGTAGTGAAAATATATGCAGGTAAATGCTTTTTGCACAAACATACTCATGTGAATCTTTTTGTTTCACACAAATACATAATACACACTAACAATTCGTATTTTCTTTATGCTTGTGTGCATTGCATTCACACATATATAAGCTGATGTCTATAAATAAATACTCTTGTAATTGTGTGTGTATAAGTGTGCGTAGTTGATATGAAGTTGTAGCTGTAAGTAGGCCACGCAGCAACTCTTGTTTGAATACACTTAGTTTTTCTAAATGTACTGCGTGCATGGAAGTGGAAATCTCTCTTTTTTTCTTTTTTCTCCACTAAATCAAAATGTGTGTATGTTTGAAAGAGTGTTTTGAAAAAAAAAAAAAAAGAAAACTGTAAACGTTATATATTGCACATAAGTTGTTGAATCACCACTTAAATGGCTGTTTGCGTGTGTTTTTTTTATTTTTCATGTAACCATATGACTATAACTGGACCATTAGTCAATTATGAATGGGTATATAATGGTTAAATGGTTGGTGATTCTGCTCCTATATGTGCGATGTACGAGTAGAAACGAGTTTTTGACCTAATAGTGACGGATTAAGTTGGAAAAGAAATGTTAAAATTTGTAGCGCTACATTTACAAAAGTCAAGTTACTCAGTTATTATTGTTGAAAGTCAAATATATTGAACACAAATACCGGAATCGGCCTTTAAACATCGGGTTGAGGATACAAAAACAAATAGCTATCTTTGATTTAATGCATTTCAAAATTATCTCTATTAAGTTCTCTATAGTTCCTTACATATTTGAACCCCTTATCGAAGCTCCTTTGCCACACTGATCGAGGTATCTCAGAAGCAGGCATTCTGACAGCATCAGATAGCTCTTCAGGTGCCTCATATGATATCGTTATTTTTTTCAATTAAAGTTAATTTTTATTATTTTTCCTTTTAAAAACTTTGCCAATATTTTTAATTTATTTAAATAGAAGAAAAATGTTTTGGTGTTCTAGAAAATTAAAATATAATTTTTGGAATATAATTTGTGTCATTTGGACACTAGAATTTCTTCGTGAACATTTTGGGAAGGTCTTTGTCTTCATACACGTATATTCTTTGATATTTCTTATCATATTTTAAATAAATGAAGTCTCTGAACATTAGCACACACAAGATGAAGTCAGATCCCAAGTAAAATTTACTGTTGTTTTTTAACACTCAAAATAATTTACATATCTTCATATGTTTTTTGTACGTGACTGTTATGTTAAATAATGTCAGTAGATTTGTTTACGCCCTTGTATATATTTTTCCACGTTTAAAAAATATAATAAAAATATTTAAAAAGAAAATACAATCGCATATCTACTCACAACGCTTATATTCAAAACATGCACTCATGTGTGTAAGCGTACTTTTTTTCCAACTCATAATTTATTTTGAATGCTTAAATTTGTGCAAAGCACAGACAACTATAAAAAAGTGAAAGCTACACAAACAATTGCAAGTGTTATTTTAACCCCATTCATACATAGACCGTCGAAAATGTGTAAAGTTATACGTCAACATAAATACATACATACAACATATAAACGAAATATACTTAGTTGTTGTCTATGTATGTGTGTCAGTGTAATTTGTATGATGAATGCTTCTTGTTTTAACGTTACCATATATATATGTAGGTATAGTACACGTTTGTAGATAAATGCTTATGTGACTTGGCGAAGGAAGGCTGTGAATCCGAAAAGTCCTGTGGGAAAACCTGCTGATCTAACAAGAGAAGTAGTAAAATATTTATTTTTTTATGTAGAAAAATATTTTAAGATTGATAAAATGCCATATATAAAAAAAAATTAATTAAGTAGTTTAATTAAATAAATAAAAAACTTCATGAATACACAAATAAATGTTTTTAAAAAGTTTCAAAATTTATAAGAATCGCTAAGAATTTATTAATTTTGTAAAAACTAACACCGATGGAAATAAAAAAAGTTATTTCTTATTTCTAAAGCAAATAGTTAAAAAACGTTGTAAAGTTTTTTAAGTTAACATCGAATTACTCTTTCTTTAGATAATCGTAAAAAAATTTAAAGAGCTTCAACAATTAAAATAAGAACTTTATTTGAATTAAATAGATAAAAAAGTTTAGAGCGCAAAAGAGAAAAATGGACAGTATAAACAATATTCAAATTTACAAACTTTTAGATAAAAAATAAGAAAATTATTTTATTTAATTTTGAATTTCAAAGAAAAAAACAGAAAGTCATAAAATTCTAAAATTTTCTCCAGAGGAAGCACACAAATAAATTAAATTATTATAACAATTAATTAAGAACAGAAAAGGCGAGAGTTCTAAGCGTCGCTGTGAATAAGTATTTTGCCAAAATATAATTTGAATTGAAAATAATAAATAATATATTAAAAAATATATATGAATACCACCATGAATAAGTCAGCTATATAAATAAACAAAAAAGTTGATGATAATACCAAAACTGCGAACATGAATCAACACTTTCATTAGAAATTAAAATTTGGTGTAAATAAAGTGATTATTTTAAGATGTTTTTTTTTGTTCCCAAAGAATTGAAAACGGAATAATTAAAAAAACTTTGGACTAGTTCAAAAAAATGCATACAATTTTTTTTTAATTTATGAAATGTTACACTGTTAAAATGTATGCTTTATTATGTGAATATGTCTACATTCCAAAAAATTTAACAAAAATTTACTTCGAGCATTTTCACTCCGTACACCTCACACCATGCACTACCGTTTAAGAGTATAACTCATTTATGGGTGTGTGCGTGCATATGAAAAACTGTGTCAAATAAATATTTTACTTTTTTCCTGACATGCACCAGGTATTACTAAAATATGTGCTCATGTAGCGCTACATTTTTGGTTGTGCTTTGTTTTTGTAGTTATTTAGAAGGTGCACAAGCATTTATGTGTACTCGCGTGTACTATGTATGTACGCCATTGTCCTTGGAGCATCATTTTTCCGCTCGTTTGTGTAAGTTTCGTTCAACAACAAAGAATAATGCAGATTTCGTACACATTTTTTTTGTTTCTTTTCAATTTTTATAGCAAATAAAAATGAGCTATTTTTGTAGCGTAAAAAGTGTTAAATGGGAAGTGACGGTTAAACAAAAATTTTAGCTTCAAAGCATTGTTTTATAAGATCTAGTGTTTATAAATATATGAAACCTGGTATGAGAAAAATTAAAATTAAATTTAATTCCTCATATTTATAGCCACTTTTGTTGTATAATGAAATAATCTAAATGCAAATAAATTTACATGCATAATTTATTTTACGTGATTTTGCCTATAAACAAATAAACGAGCAATTAAATTTTTCGCGCATAAAACTATTAAAATGAATTTTACTATGAAATTCGCACTCAACTAAATAAATTAAAAATTGCATTGCCTAAAATGATTTTGTTTGGCAAAAAAAAAAAAAAGAAAATTCAAAATATATATAATAGTATGTATTATTTTTATGTGAATATTATTGCGGCTTTTTGCTGCTCAGCATCAAATCGACATTTCAATTGTGTTAATTAACCAGAATTGGAAGAATCCCTTTAACAAAAAACTCTGAGCTTATATAAACGTTAATCCGCAAACAATTCGCACATTTCTAAATTAATATAATAAAATGCTATTGGAGATTGGCCATAATTTTGAATACGTTTGTATATATGCATACACGCTCACACAACCGCACATGTACATAACTGTGTTAATTTAATAAAATATTTCTATTGTTTTAGAAGCATTTATATTAACCAATATTTTGTTTACATACTCATGCATACCTATATATAGATAAACATATACAAAAGTATAGTAGTCAATAATTATTTTGGGCAAAGTAATTAATTTAACATAAATTTTTCGCTTTCCGGCTAATTTTATATAATCCATTAATTTTGTTTTGTTGCCGCAAATGCCGCGATCTTACATAAAGTGTGTGTCTGTATTGCTATGTGTTTTCACGCATACATTTGCACGTGTCCAAAAGCCATAAGCACTTAGCTTATATATACTTATTTATAGGTTTTGTGGATTTTGACCACTTAACAATTGACTCTGCCTGCATTAGCCACTGTTCATTTACAGCCCGCATTTCCTCTATTTCCACCCGCGCTTTGTGCTTGAGCGTACAATGTCATTGGTTTTGCGGTGACATTTGTTAATATGAGATACTATTCGCGGTTTTTGGTGTAGCGAAAAATTATTTAAATTTTTACTTATGCAATAGTTTGCAATTTATGTTGACATTTGTTGCAAAATCCACAATAATTATGAGTTTTGCGGGTAAACATGCATCGATGTGGCGTAATACAAATAAATAAATTTTATTGTATATTTTTAAATTTTTCTTTTAGTTAGGTAGTATAAATTTTGTTTAATTTAATTTAATATCATAATTAAGTTTGTTTATTTATTGTTTTATTTTATTTAAAATCCATTTTTACTTTCCCTTTTTTCTTAGGAGGATATCGACAATGAAATATTAGACGATGAAGGCGGCTCAGGCCTTGTGGTAGGTTCCTAATTTTTATTTTATTTTTTCTTTTATTATCATTATTTGAAGACACTTTATAATCCCTTTTTTAATATAAATTTTTTTGTTTTTGCAATTTTCTTTCATTATATCTGGTCTACATATTCCTAAATTTAGCCGAATGACGCGGACTATGACCTTTCAGATGACAGTTTTTGGAACGTAAGTAGAACAATATAAAATACAGACTAACAACGTGGCAGCAAATTAATTTTCTACATTTAAAAATTATTTGTTTTAATATGATAAAATTATAAATACCATCATTTAAATTAATGTAGTTTATTTCTTTTATTTAATTTTGTTTGATATTTATAGTATAATAATATTTTAATTTTTCAAATTTGTTTTAATTTGATTAAATTTTTTGTACTTTTGAGTTTACTTTATATTATTTACTTTTGTTAATTTTATGCCATTTCAATATATTTTATTTTTTTATGTTTATTATTTTTATATTCATTTATTTTAATTGATTTATATTCTTATTTCTATTTGATTCATATTATTTTAGTACATTTTATTTCATTTTTTTAAATCTATTTTTTTTAATTACATTTTTTTTAAATTTATTTTATTTAATTTTTTCTATTTTATTCCTTTGCTTTTACATGATTTATTTGATTTTATAAATTTAATTACATTATTTGATTTTAGAAATTAGTATGTTCTCCTATTAATTATTTATAATTTTATTATAATTTACTAAAATTTCTCTAAATTGTTTTATTTAAATTCAGAAATTTTATTTTATTTTGTTTTATTTCTTTTTATTTAAGTTTTTTTTTATTAATTTTTTAAATTTTTGTTTTAATTTAGCTTCTTTTTATTTAATTTATTGTAAATTGTAGCGTGTTGTTATATTAGAAATCCACTGGTAACGCTAACCCCAGCCAATGGGAAACGGCGTTAATATATATTATAGTATTTTTTTAATTCTAACATTATATTTAATAATTTTATTTAATTTTGGTGCAATTTATTTTAAATTATTTTATTTTTTTAAATAATTTTTTTTTTGCTAAGACTTACTTTGGAATAGCAAAATCATAAAAAATAAACAGAAGCAATTATATGTATATTACTTCGTAACCTCTGAAACGATTTTCGTCCGAGGCTCCTTCTCCAGATTGTGGTTTTGCGTCTTGATGTTTTTCCAAAAAATGGAAGATCCTACAGTTTATGCTAAGCCACCTCTGAACTTCTGACGGGTTTTTTGAGGAGCTTGAATTAATGTCCGAAAAACACCCGGAGGGGCGAACGCAATAAGAAAATTTATCTTAAAATTTCTTTTCTATAACATTTGGTTGTTGGTCGCGTGGTTATTTGAACCCGAGCCTTCCGAATGGCAGTACGCAATGCCAACCACTCGGCTACCACGGCCACTTAAACTAACTGCTTAAAGTAATATTTCTAAATTATCTTGACTGTAAAATATTTTACCTTATTCAAAACATTTAAACATTTTTTGGTCTCATCTCTTACTACTATTTCATGGATAATTTTTGTAATGAAGAAATTACTGACCCTTTTTGGCTTTTTGGTAATTTTTCCCATTTAACGCTGAGCATTTTTCCCCTCATAAAAGCTCCACAAATTATTTATGTCTTTATAAATACACTAGAGGTTATCAAAAGTAAATATCTTTGAATATGACAAACATATATATACATATATACGAACGGCAGTACATTTTCCTATATGCATATCTGTAGGTATTCATATGAATGAATATGTTTATCTATGAAATACTGACTTATGGACTTCTGACCACAACATGTCTAACTGATAAACACTTTGCACGTTAGCAAGCACACACACACACATACACGCATACATGTAAACATGAAGGTATGCATACATAGACATGTGCTTATATATTATTTCATGCTCTTGTATATTAATAAATGATATTACTTGTATATGTGTTTACTTTGCCCTGTTCGATTTCCCATTTTCTGAGTATTAAAGATAAAATAGAATGAAGAATGGCCAATATGTGGGTGAATATCTATTATCTAACGACTGACCGAAGTTGCTGGTCAGATCACATACATGTAATATAATAACTGGTAGATACGCATAGTAGAAATTAATATCGATGTGTGTGCTTGTATATATGCGACAGACAGTGGCAGTTGAGCAAAATGTTTATTTGCTAATGCTTGTGGCTTGTAACTTTACCATTTGTAGGCGTACATCATAGGCACGTAGCTGACTTTTTTACAATAATTCATGCATTTACGAATGAGAATAATCGACACTTATACTTTGCTGCTTTGCTGTGCATGCCAGCTACCCAAGAGTGAAGATAGTCAAGAGGAAATTGTATATGCCTGAATAATAAAGCCTGCGAGGGTAGTTACATGGAGATACTTGTAGGATGGAAGTTTGATATATAAATGTTATTAATGGGCATTTAAAGAGCAGATATTTTGAAAGATGATCGCTGCTGCTTAAAGAAACATTGAAATGGATAATTCAATGCAAATTTAATGATTAAAAAAACAGTTAATTTTTTAATATTAAAGAGAACTATATAATCAATAAGCAGAAAATTAAAGTATCAAAAATGTTAAGCAATTAAAAAAATTTTATAAAATATTAGCAAAAAAAAAAAAAAATAAAATAAAAAAAAAATATTTAATTAAAAAAATTTTATAAAATGGTTGCTGAAGTTTTTTTGCAAACAAAATAGTGCTAAATAAGTTTTAAAATTCTTAGTTACACTAAAAATATTTTCAGTCCTAAACAAAAATATCTCAGCTTTTATTTTATAAATATCAAGTTTGCCAATGTAAAGCTTATGTAAGTTAATAGTTGAGCCTTCTTTCTGATTTTCTTACTTTTTCCCAGAAATTTCATCGAAAATTCCACTCTACTTTTACTCACATGAGAATTCTTATATATGTATGCAGGTACAGCTAAACTTTCCAAACAAAATATTACAACACCATTATATTATTGAAATAAAATTCTTTCAGCATTTCCAACGAAAACTTCTTAAATGTATTCGCTTAACTAGAAATGTGATAAATATGCCGCCAACTTCTTTGCGTTTTCTCTCTCTCTCTCTCTCTTTTGCTGCTTGCATCGCGCCAATAAGCCATCTATACTTGTATTAATTCCCAAAACAAATAAGCGTCGAATTGTTTACCAAACTTTTGCCACAACAAGAAGAAGAAGAAGAAGAAAATTTTATTATAAGAAAATCTTAACGATAATCCAGCAATTTCTTTCACTTTTCCAATGAATTACTTTTTGTACGTTGAGTGATGATACGCATTTACATGCACACGCGTACATACATATACGTGATATATAATACCAAATAACATTGATTTCTCTCAAGAATGTCGAAATTAGAAGCTCTTATGCATATAAAATAGTCACTCATTCACATGCGTAAGTTCACAAACACATTTTATATCTTTCAATGTGGCACTTATTGTACACACTTGGCAGGCTATTGAATATAATATGTGCATGAACATATACAGATATACCACTTGCAAATGAATGTGGGAGAATCTCCAATTCATGACAGCTAAAGCTTCATAGGAAAAACTTTTAAGCATTTCACATTTCAGTAACGTAGATCTTTGTAGACATATCTACACAGGCCTCTTTCCAGTGAGTTAAATATTTAGTTAAAGTAAACATAAAAAAGAATTGCAAAACTTGATATTTATAATCTTATTCTAAATAATTTTTAAACAAATTTATACTGAATCAAGTCCATACAGAGCATGCAGCAAAGCAATAAAGATTAAAAGGTTAAAAAAATATTTTTGCTTAATTTGTTATTTGATTCAGCTTGAATCAGTACTTCAATAAATAAGTAAATAAGGGATTCAGAAGAAAAATTGCTTGCGAAAATTCAAATTAATCAACTTTTTTTGTTTTTGCCTTAAAATGCTCTTTCATTTTCTTGACTTCTAACAGCTATTTAATATACATAGGATCAGAAATTATTTTATTCAAAACTAATTGTGTTGAATAGCAATACTTCAAGTCCATAAAGAAAATATTTTACAAATATTTTCTCCAAAAAATATTTTTATATGTTTTGATCAATATATTTTGCTCAATGCCAGATCTAAATATACTAAATGTTAAAGATTTCACCCCCATTTTTGTATGATAATTAAATTTTTTAACGAGAAAGAAAAAGTTGCTCATACGACCCTACCGACGGCATCAGGGAAGTAAAAGAATCAAAGGCGTGTGTAATATGAAAGAATATGATACGAAAAGCAAGCATTCAATTTTATCAATCGAAACCAAGACTCCACCGTGCCAAGTTTTAACGAAGACCGCCTGACTTAAGACAGATGGCAAGTCAAACTTTGAACTTCAGGACGACAAAAGGCTGAAATTACTTTCCAAGGGCTGCTGATATACTTATACAAAACAGGAATTTAGTTTTCTGAGGGCAGCTTCCTCCTGCTAGTTTGTGAGTCTTTTTTTAAACAAGAAGAACTTTTGAACTAATGTTGGAGCTTTAGTGGATCCATTTTAGTTCTCATACGAAACAGTGCAGTTGCGTATATTCGAATTTTATTTGAAAAGAATTGAAAGTAAATCTGCTAAAAAATTGGCCACTATTTATGTTGGCTATTCGGTACACCGCATAAAAACCTAGAGAGGCTTTTAGTTGGTTCTTTACAGAGTAAAATACTGTGGTCTAATTTAATTAATTAATTAAATTTAATATTAAAAAATCTTGGTCGGGCTTAACAAAATTTTCATGCTTCCTTGTGTCTATAGAAAATTTTAAACACAAAAATCACTTGAATAAAAACTATTGGCTTCCAAGGCTACTCAGCGTTGACTAAAAAAATATTCTGCAAAAAATTTTTTGTATCCTTAAAAAGTTTTTCTGTCACCGCTGTACCAAAAACTAGAAAAAAGGAAATGCTTCAAATACTATATGAAGAAGTTTTCTTGAGAGGTAAAGCTAGAGAAAACTGGTTTTGTTATATTATTTATTAGATGGTTGGTCCACAAGTCGACGTAAGCATAAAGTATCTTCAACAAATTATTAGCTTTGCCTTAAAGAGACATCATCAGACTTTTTAGTAAGAAAGAAGTCGCTACAAGAATATCGAACACATTTTAAGATTTTTGTTTCCCGACAAGGTTAGAAGTTTCCTCTCTTC